AAGCCCCAAGAAAAACAATGAGGTTTTTGGGTCAAATTTTGAAAACAATGCTCTAAATAAGGAGATATGCAACTAAGAATGAAAATATTTGGACCTAAAACCTTTTTTTTTTTTTGAAAAAAAATTTGCCCCAAAAGTTTTTTTTTAAAACAATGACACAAGCATGAGCAACTCCCCCCACACTTAAAATATGCATAGTCCCCAATGCATCTATATGATATGCAAATAAATCATAATGATATAACCAAGAGAATAAGCAAAGAGAAAAGGGAATTGGGGAATTCAACAAATAAAAGTATACGCAGCATCAATTTATCACTTTCCTCTCCTTGATGTGTTCGGTGGACCCAAAATCTGCAAAAACATGGCTAAGACCAAGTCTTTTTTAGCTTTGAAGAGATAAAAAATCAGATTTAAAGAAATGCAGATTTTAAGCTTCAAATTTGGTTCTGGAAACCAATTCTTGTGCTTTTTTTTTGCACTTTTCAAAACAAAATGCTGCATATGAGAAGGTTAGTTATGTCATGCACGTGCAAAGCAGCTCATATGCATCTATTAAACATCATAATTCAGCACATATGCATCAGATGAACTCAAAAATAAGATTGAACACCAAGAAAAGATTGCAGATTTTTTCCTACTTCAGCACCTATATAAGCTGTAAAAAGTGTAAAATTTGCATTTTGCATTCAAAAAATCAGCTTACAATTCCAAAAATAACTTTTCAAAGTGCAAAATTTTTCCTTAGTATTCAAAAAATCATTTGTAAACACTGCATATGTCTCAATTTTCAGCTTAAATATGTCCATACAATAGCACCCAAACCTTAAGGAAAATGAAATTTTACAACAGAGAAACCATTGGGTACTTGAGACCGCTGATCTGGATCAGTTTGCACATTAATAATGTAGATATTTACCATTGAAGCTCAAAAATCAGATTTGAATGGGTAGGTTATTCACTTTTGCAAGCAAAATTATGACTTTATAGTGCAACTTCTCATTGTGCAAACTGTAATATCAGAAACCAAACTTTGAACACAAAAAGGATAAGGAAACTGAAGCCCAAACCTGAGATACTGAGAGGCTGGAGCTACTGATTTGGATCAGATTTCACACCTGTTTGTGCAGATTTTTACTCGAAAGGACATGCTTCTACCTATGCCTTAATAGCCCTTGCGTTTTCACTCAAATAAATGGTTAAAAGCATAAATGGAGCAAAAATAGACCATTAAGAAACAGCTAAAGCAGCAGTATTCTAAGTACTCTTGATAATGAAGTTTTTTTTTAATTTTTTTTGTGTTTTTAACAAAAGCTAAAGATTAATAAGCAATAAAATTAAAGAAAGAGCAAGAAAAGTAGGTGGGTTGCCTCCCATAAGCTGCCCGATTTAACGTCTTTGGCTAGACGAAACTAGGAAGAGTTCTAAGGTTCTGCTTCTAGTTCTAACTCCTCCGCTAATCCTGCAAATCCTCCCTCACGAAAAAGTTTTAACCTATGACCATTTACCTTGAAAGTAACTCCAGAGGATTCATTCTTAATGTCTACCGCTCCATGGTTATAAGTTTTAATAACGGTGTAGTGTCCTAACCATCTAGAGCTAAGTTTTCTTGGAAAAAGTCTAAGCTTAGAGTTATAAAGAAGAACTTTATCTCCTATCTCAAAGTGTTTTCTAGAAAGCTTAGAGTCATGAAAGGCTTTTGCTTTATCCTTATATATCACTGAGTTATCATAAGCTTCTAGTCTAATCTTCTCAAGCTCTTGAATCTGCAGTTTTCTGTGTTTTCCTGCCAAATCATAATCAAGATTAACCTGTTTAACAGCCCAATATGATTTATGTTCTAATTCTACCGGAAGGCGACAAGGTTTTCCAAATACTATCCTGTAGGGAGACATACCTAGAGGAGCCTTATATGGAGTTCTATAGGCCCAAAAAGCCTCGTCTAATCGATCGCTCCAATCTTTCCTATCCGGTCTCACTACCTTTTCTAAAATACTCTTCACTTCCCTGTTGCTTATCTCGGCTTGTCCATTGGTTTGGGGGTGATAGGCAGTGGAAATCCTATGGGTGATATGATACTTAGAGCAAAGGTTCTCTAATGTTCTATTGCAAAAATGAGT